GTCTGCGCGCACCTGCGAGCGTGCACACTGCTGTCTTCTACGGGGCAACGCTGGACACCCGCTCTGCTGCAGCGTTGGTTTGCCGTCGACCTGCTTTGTTGGCAGGTCGCCTTTCTGCAGTGCTGGCGCGACTCCTCTACGCAACGCTGGCAGGCGGTCGACCAAGCTAGCTGCAGAGTTGCAAGGTGCCTGATGTAGTCATTGTCGTCATTGCTTGTTGTATCATTCTGTAATTTCGACTTTGCCTAGTGGAAACTCTTGCCGATTTCTCCCGTGAATGTGGAAGCACTAAGGAACTAAGCAAAGCTACGATCATTCCTAGTAGTTTGAGCCAACCCCCATAGTCTATCTCACTACCGTTATAAAGTGACTCTCCACAAGTAGGATGGGCGAAGGCATGGGCGAATAATATATAGCGAAGCTACAGTGGTAATGGTAATGTGTGAGAAGTGGGGTGCGCGACGGGCCTAGCGCCGAGGTTGGGAGTTGTCGAGGCAGAGGTCTGGAGCACGGGTTACCAACCAAACGGTGAGGTTGGGTCGCATCGTGAATAGTGGCGGGAACAATGTTGAGGCGAGTGTCGAGAGTGGTAACGGTGTTCTGTTGGGTGCTGTTGGCGGGAACAGTGGTGTACGCGCTGAGGAGGGACGCGAATTAAGGAAACGGTTTTTTCCTTAGAGTCAGCCAGTTATCTGAGGAAGGCTCAGGTATATCAGCTAATTCCAGTTCTGGCAATTCAAAAGCTCTTTACCGAGTTATCCAGGGTTTATAATTGGATTTTCATTTCCTAAGTCTAGGGCGTTCATTTACAGTTCATCCGTCGTGGCGCACGACGATTCCAGACGATGCACAGCGGTTCACAAATTTCATATTTTGTGACAAGAGTAACCGCACAAAACGAATGGAGGAACGCTCTGGGCACGCCTTGAGAGACACCCTGGTCGGGTCGGGTCCGTGCATCCCGTTCTGTGTTGTGCGACCAGGGGTTCAAAACGTTAGTGTGTAGACATCCGTCAAGGTGCAGCACGGGTTTATAAGCAAGTAGGTTTTGCTATGTTTACTGCTCGGTGCCCCGATATATCCGTTGGATGTCGGACGGATGTTGGCGGAGTCTGTTCAAATTTTGAACTTTGGACTAGAAACTGCCTCAACGGAGACTAGAAAATCAAGGTCGCTGTTCGTTCCAGTTAGTCCTCCTCAAGCACCCTTTCACAGTCTTGTCCGAATCTAGGAGATTTTATGTATACTTTGTCAGCAAAGCATTCCGACAGTTCCCTACAGCACCCAGCCTTGTCCACTGTCCCCAGGTGTTGATTTCACCACTTGCTTCGAGACGCCTCGAAGCAAATCTAGGACGCTATGCATGCACCATAGTGTTGCTTGTCATAACTCCATCACTTCTCCCATTTCCTGCGCACCTTCGGGTGCCTCATTGTTTCACGGTATAGTACAGTAGGACCAAAATCTTAATACTGCTAGAATGCGGCGGGATCTGGCCAACCAACCAGACAAGCTGCCTGCCCTTCCTGGCATGATGCCGCACGTTCTCGTTGCTTACTCACCCAGCAATGCTGTTCAGAAGCCGAAGCCCCACCCCCGCGGATCACGCACGGGCCAAGGCTCCGCTCCGCAGTGTCACCTTCGCTGCACATGCGTATGCTTGCACTACGGGTAAGTAGCTTTCGCGGGGGTACCACTAGGGACCCCGCGCTTTGTAGGGAGCTACAGTGCCAGCGGGGGGCACTTTCCGCCCCTCCGTGCCTCAGACAGAGGAATTATAGAAACAACACAGAACTCTTCCCCACATTCACCCACGTGGCACAAGTTTCCATGCCAACTACTGCACTGAGCAACTTGTCAACTGTGCACAGTTGACTTTTGTCCCTTCTGCCAAATCGAATCCTCACTCTAGGTGGCTCGGCTGCCACTGTTCCGAAATCTGTTGAGCTAGTTTGTCGCGCCCTAGATTTCGAAACACAGGCCCAGCTCGCCAGACGGAAACGGAGAACACTAGCATTCCGTCAGGTTGTTTGAATCCCTTCATCTCACGTACGTTACGTTGCCTCCGTCTGTTGGACTTGTCTAATGCTACTTCACAGATTAGGGTTTCCGACAAGTCACAGACTGATGTAAAACTTCGTTCTAAGTTATTGCGTACGTTGCCTCAAGCTATCTATTAATCAGCATAGGCGCCATGCGTTTTTCTCGAATCTGTGGCCACACCATATCCATTAGTAGGAGCATCACCTTGTCCCGGATAATGTTTAATTGGCTAGCAACCCAGGATATGAGTTCTGGTTCGTTAAACATGTGCACCCTTTATTTCTCTTCTCCGATCCTTGCGGTCGATGGTAAGTTTGCTTGATTTCGACCAGCCTATCATAACATCGTACGTGACTTACATAATCTGACTGTGCCATGCGACTTACCTTCCGCATGATTGATCGCGCATTTTCTTGCCGTTTATCAACCATGTTACGAACTCCTTGCGGTGGTCTGTACAGAATGCTAAGCTTCACTCACCCCGCACATGTGTTTCATCCACATTTTTTAGTATAATCCACCCTTTTCTTGTCTATCCTTTATTCTCCTGCCTTACATGTGTCTCTTATCTTATGTTTTCAGACTTCCATCACTCGCAAATTATCGTGTAGACAGAAACCATGTGTGCACAATGTTCAGAAGTTCTCTTTCAAGGTGATCTGACTGATTTACAGATGCAATGTATGGGATATGCCTTGTATTGCCGCACGTTCCTTGTTTGGGTTGCATAAAACAACTTACATTTGATTCCTTTACCTTTGCCATTATGTGTTCTTTAAACAGGGCATTTCTTGGGCAACAGACGGAGGAGATCCGCATATACCAAGGGAAAATCTATGCATCTGTAAGCGCTGCTAGAGATGAGATAGAGAAATATGGCGATAGGTTCAACTTTAGGCCGTGGTATAGGGACAATAGGCAAGAACGCCTTGACGTGCGTTGCCCTTCTATGAAAGGAAAAGACTGGCCCAAGAATGAGGCCAAAGCATCTGAGGGTTTTTGTCCGTTTCGGATTGTAGCTACCGGGCCACGAAATTGCTGCTTTAGTGTGAAAACTGTGACGCTGCAGCATGCACACACGTGTGTGCCACGCCCTGGTCGGATTAGGAGGGAACAGGTTAAGCAATTGGTGCGTGAAGTACATCCTCATACAGTCCTTAGACCTATTGGACTACGAGATATGGTGCGGGAAAAGTTAGGCGTCGACTGCTGCAATGCTACGTGTGGCCGGTCAATAGATGATGTCACTCGAGAGGATCGTCTAGGTGGAGAGTCGGGTTTCCAATACATTGGTAGCATCTTAGATGTTTTCAAGCGAAATAACCCATCAAGCGTTGTGTCATTGATGCTGGATGAGAAGAGGTTCTATCGTGCTGCAGTGATTTACCCTGGAGTCCGTGAGATAGTGAATAATTGCTTCCCGATCATATTTGTAGATGGATGTCACAACAAAGGTAAATGGCGTGGCCACACCCTGAATGCATGCATGATAGATTGCGAACATAAGCTGGTGAGGTTAGGGAGTGCGTGGGTAGAAGGTGAGAGTGCGAATTCGTGTGAGTATTTTTTGAGCCAGCTGAAGGCAGCTGCCCCTGAGATGAACACTGCGAGGTTTACATTGATGCATGATCGCGGTAAAGCATGGAAAGCAGCTGCGGCCAGAGTGCTGCCAGGGGCGCGTGAGGCATTTTGCATCACACACTTGGTGAGGAATTTCAATTCAAAGTTTGGTTCCGACTGTGATGGCAAGATCGAGCTCGCGGCTGCAGCATTGACCAGAGATGTGTTGCAGGGCTACATGGACAAAATCGAGGAAGAGTGCCCTGGGGGGAAGCAATACTTGGAGAGGGATGGATTGGCCGCACATTGGGCTACCTTTCTGTTTGATGCGTCATGTTTTGGGTGCTATACTTCAAACCCGGTGGAGTCGCATCATGCCTCTATGCACAAGTGGAGGAGGGACAATCCAGCCCAAGTGTTGCTTGCATTCATAACACAGCAAGCGAAGGCAATGGAAGAGGGTCATGGGTTGTATGGGACTCTCGGGGTAGCTGATCTCCCCCCCAAAACAGCAGCTATCATTCGTGCTAATTGTCAAATGGGGACTCAGTACAAGGTTGAGAAGATTGGCAGAAGTTCGTACCATGTGAGCCGTGAGATTGGAGCTAAGGAGGAGCGTGTGGTGGTGATGGAGGCAGCGGATCCGAAGAAGGCACAGTGCACGTGTAATTATTCGAAGTGAGTTATGTGTTTTGATTCTGTTTTTTGAAGTACTTGTCACCTGGTGTTATGCACCTGGTGTTAGGGGTGTCATTACATGCATTACCTTTTTGTGATCTCTGGCCTTCTCTTGATGTTTGTCATATGATGGATCCTGACATTCGTTTCACACTCATTTGATTTTCCCGTACAATTGCAGAGAGTATGGGCTGCCTTGTATGCACATGTTTGCAGTACTGCTCCACAACATCCGGCCGGCGCGTGGCAACGAGTTTGCAGATGTCCAACAGGCGGTTCAAGCCATGATCCACAGGTGTTACACATCAACCGCTTTGAAGGAGCTCTACAGCACGGAGATTCGCACTCTCGACCGCACAGAGATAGTACCAGACAAAACAGTTGAGCCACCAGTGTACCCAAAGAAGTCTGGAAGGCCACGCAACAATCGGTTGAGGTCCCATGGTGAGATTGATGGCAGGAAGCTGCGTAGATGTGGGAAGTGTGGGGAGAAAGGGCACAATAGACTGACTTGTGATTTGCGCAAACAATTGAGAGACGCATGGGAGGCACTTCACACTCCGGAAGGGCATATGAGTGTGCAAACAGCTACGCAAGCAGAGGCTCAAGTGAATGTGGCGCTGTGCAGTGCATGCAATAGAAGTCACCACAGAGATGTACTGTGCGAGCCTAGGAGGCAACATCGTGAACATGAACGACCTCATAATGGGGAGGGGGTGATGGACGGCAACGAGACTCACGCGGCAGATGGTGAGAATGGAGATGTTGAAGTATCAGATGAGGAGGAGGACGGCAGTTCAGAGTCGGAGGGGGAGAGAGAAGAGCAGCCAATGGATGCGGGTGCTGGTGTCCAACAGGCTGTCCCATCAGTACTCCGTGAAATATTTGGGGAGGCATTTAACGGACTTAATCAATCAGGAAACAACGGAAACATGCGCTCGGGGGGTGTGGGATTATCAATTCCAACAGCAGCAGAGATTGGAGGATTGGGGGAGATGGGAGGAGCATCCGAGAGTGGAGGATTGGACGAGCGGGGAGGAGCAGGCGACAGCGGGGCGGGGAGGGGAGGAGAAGAGAGCGGGGCAGGGAGGGGAGGAGCAGCCGAGAACGCGGCGGGTAGGGGAGGAGCAGCAGGGAGCGAGGCGGGGAGGGGAGGAGCAGTCGAGAGTGGGGTAGAGAGGGGAGGAGAAGAGAGCGGGGCAGGGAGGGGAGGAGCAGCCGAGAACGCGGCGGGTAGGGGAGGAGCAGCAGGGAGCGAGGCGGGGAAGGGAGGAGCAGTCGAGAGTGGGGTAGAGAGGGGAGGAGAAGAGAGCGGGGCAGGGAGGGGAGGAGCAGCCGAGAACGCGGCGGGTAGGGGAGGAGCAGCAGGGAGCGAGGCGGGGAGGGGAGGAGCAGTCGAGAGTGGGGTAGAGAGGGGAGGAGCAGCAGGGAGTGGGGCGGGTAGGAGAGGAGCAGCAGGGATCGGGGCAGGGTTGGGAGGAGCATCAGCAGGGACAGGGAGGGAAGGAGCAGCAGGGAGCGAGGCAGAGAGGGGAGGAGCAGTCGAGAATGGGGTAGGGAGGGGAGGAGCAGCAGGGAGCGAGGCGGGGAGGGGAGGAGCAGTCGAGAGTGGGGTAGAGAGGGGAGGAGCAGCAGGGAGTGGGGCGGGTAGGAGAGGAGCAGCAGGGATCAGGGCAGGGTTGGGAGGAGCATCAGCAGGGACAGGGAGGGAAGGAGCAGCAGGGAGCGAGGCAGAGAGGGGAGGAGCAGTCGAGAATGGGGTAGGGAGGGGAGGAGCAGCAGGGAGCGAGGCGGGGAGGGGAGGAGCAATCGAGAGTGGGGTAGCGAGGGGAGGAGCAGCAGGGAGTGGGGCAGGTAGGAGAGGAGCAGCAGGGATCGGGGCAGGGTGGGGAGGAGCATCAACAGGGACAGGGAGGGAAGGAGCAGCAGGGAGCGAGGCAGAGAGGGGAGGAGCAGTCGAGAATGGGGTAGGGAGGGGAGGAGCAGCAGGGAGCGGGGCGGGGAGGGGAGGAGCAGTCGAGAGTGGGGTAGCGAGGGGAGGAGCAGCAGGGAGCGGGGCGGGTAGGAGAGGAGCAGCCACAAGTGGGGTAGGGAGGGGAGGAGCAGCAGGGAGCGGGGTGGGTAGGAGAGGAGCAGCCACAAGTGGGGTAGGGAGGGGAGGAGCAGCAGGGAGCGGGGCGGGTAGGAGAGGAGCAGCCACAAGTGGGGTAGGGAGGGGAGGAGCAGTAGGGAGCGGGGTGGGTAGGAGAGGATCAGCAGGGATCGGGGCAGGGAGGGGAGGAGCAGAGAGCGGGGCGGGGAGGGGAGGAGCAGAGAGCGGGGCCGGAAGGGGAGGAGCAGCAGCAAGTGGGGCGGGGAGGGGAGGAGCAGAAAGCGGGGATGGGAGGGTAGGAGCAGCAGTGAGTGGGGCGGGGAGGGGAGGTGCAGGATGGAGTGGTGGAGTGGCGGGTGAGATGGGAATTGACCACAACAACCCCACACCTGGTGACGCCTCGCAAAACAATGGTGACAACGTGGTTCGTTTTAGACTGAGGCGGATGCAACACGTTCGTCAGCAAAGACAAGTGGCACCCGAACCGAGAAATATGGATCAAACGCCAGCGGCTGTGGTGGAGGAGGCGGACTCAGAGGCAACGGGCCATACAGACCAGACCCCAGTCCCTGAGACACAGCAATCAATCGTTGTGGATAATCCAGCGGACCAAAGTGGGGAAATGCAGGATGAACAACAGCATGTGAAGTTGGGGCAGAAGCGACGCCGCCTGTTGAGGAGGTTGCAGATGCAGCAACGACATCAAAGACGGAAACAGCTGCAGGGCGTGACTCAGCAGGGACAGCACCAGCAGCAGCAGCAGCAGCAGCAGCAGCCGCAGCAGCAGGGACAGCAGCGGCAGCAGGGACAGCAGGAGCGGCAGGGACAGCAGCGGCAGCAGGGACAGCAGGAGCGGCAGGGACAGCAGCAGCAGCAGCAGGGACAGCAGGAGCGGCAGGGACAGCAGCAGCAGCAGGGACAGCAGGAGCGGCAGGGACAGCAGCAGCAGCAGCAGCAGCAGCAGCAGCAGGGGCAGCAGATGCTGCGACAACAAATCCAAAATCAAAACCACCAAGAGTGGCCTCAATCTCAGCAGCAGCAGCAAGAGCGACACGAGCATCTGTAACAGAGTCAAAAACAACAGAAAAGATTGCAGCAGCAATGACAGGAGCAGCAGAAGACAGTGCAACGAATGCATCGGCAATTGCAACAGCAAGAGGCCGGGTGGTGGCTGCAATCCTCTTCGCTGCAACAACAATGGTGAACCTTGTGAAACTAGAATATGGCCTTGTATCATTGTTGACATATCACAACGTATGAAACAAGGCCTTTGTCAACCATCTCCCACTCCCTGCAACCATTCCTGGCTCTCGCTCCATGCTTCTGGTACCGTACCTGACACAACTCCCTGCTCCCACTAACTGCTATGATAAAGGAGTGTCGTGATTTTTTTTTAACTATACAACCATGGAAACATTGTGGTCACTTTTTTTTCCAGGAATATGTACTGGTATTTGTTGATGGATGCATGCAATCACTATAATGTGCAACTCTGAAAAGCACTAAGTTCTGAAACTGAAGCATTGTTGTTTCACATCATAAATATGTCACACAACACCACCTAATAGCATGCACACCATTCTATCCTTACCCACAATTACGCATTCGTTATTCAACAGAGGGATCACACCTTCGAAATTTCTGTAGTCTCTTATGGGGAGGATAAGAAGAAGGAGAAGGGGAAGGAGAAGGGGAAGGAGAAGGGGATGGAGAAAGGGAAGGGGAAGGGGAAGGGGAAGGAGAAAATAGGAGTAGAAGGGGAAGGAGATGGCGAAGGAGAAGGGGAAGGATATTGGGAAGGAGAAGGCAAAGGAGAAGGGGAAGGGGAAGGGGAAGGGGAAGGCAAAGGAGAAGGGGAAGGGGAAGGCAAAGGAGAAGGGAAAGGGGAAGGCGATGGAAAAGGCGAAGGAGAAAGAGAAGGGGAAGGAGAAAGGGAAAGAGATGGGGAAGGGGAACGGGAAGGAGAATGGGAAGTAGAAAGGGAAGGAGAAGGCGAAGGATAAGGATAAGGGGAAGGAGAATGGGAAGGAAAAGGGGAAGGAGAAGGGGAAGGATAAGGGGAAGGAGAAGGCGAAGGAGAAGGGGAAAGAGAATGGGAAGGAGAAGGGGAATGACAAGGCGAAGGATAAGGGGAAGGAGAAGGGGAATGAGAAGGGGAGGGAGAATGGGAAGTAGAAGGGGAAGGAGAAGGCAAAGGATAAGGGGAAGGAGAATGGGAAGGAGAAGGGGAATGAGAAGGCGAAAGCTAAGGGGAAGGAGAAGAAGAATGAGAAGGGGAAGGAGAAAGGGAAAGGGAAGGGGAAGCAGAAGAGCCTGGCGAAGGACAATGCGAAGGAGAAGGCAAAGGAGAAGGGGAAGGGGAAGGCAAAGGAGAAGGGGAAGGGGAAGTCAAAGGAGAAAGGGAAAGGGGAAGGCGATGGACAAGGCGAAGGAGAAAGAGAAGGGGAAGGAGAAAGGGAAAGGGAAGGGGAAGGGGAACGGGAAGGAGAATGGGAAGTAGAAAGGGAAGGAGAAGGCGAAGGATAAGGATAAGGGGAAGGAGAATGGGAAGGAAAAGGGGAAGGAGAAGGGGAAGGATAAGGGGAAGGAGAAGGCGAAGGAGAAGGGGAAAGAGAATGGGAAGGAGAAGGGGAATGACAAGGCGAAGGATAAGGGGAAGGAGAAGGGGAATGAGAAGGGGAGGGAGAATGGGAAGTAGAAGGGGAAGGAGAAGGCAAAGGAGGCGGCTAAGGCACTGCCCGAGCTTGGCATCATCGACGCGGTCATCCGCGCATTGGCGGAAGATCTCGGCAGATCCAGCAACTACAACCGCAAGTTCAAGGAGCTGCACGAGGTTTTCACGCACACCAACCTCGAGGTCCAGGGGATCCACTCCGTCCGCTGGCTGAGTCGGGGCGATGCTATCGCCCGATTCGTCCGCGTTTTCCCAGCGGGCATCGTTATGCTCGAGGAGACGGACAAGACTATGTACCAGTTGGTGACGTCGTTCAAGTTTCATTTCTTCCTGTTCTTCTTGGCAGATGTGCACACGGCACTCAACGCGCTCAACCTGCTATTCCAGAAGCGTCAGGTGAGGTGTTGAGTTACATAGTGCTTTTGTCTTCTTCTCCCAGTTACTTATCTTTTTTTCGGTGTACCTATTCTCCCCCTATCCTCTCGCGCGGCACGCCTCCCCCGACTGCCGTGAAATGACTGTGGAGGGGGTGGACAAGGATGGTGAGGCCCGGGTACACAAGTTCCAGCTGCACGAGGAGGCCGTGAAGGGATACACCACCAGCAGCGGGGACATGCAAGGCTGCTACACCTGCTGCCGCTCCTTCGCCCGCGAGCTGGTGTACAACCTCGAGCTGCGCTTGGGAGACCTGACGCGCTTGAACGGGGTGAAGCTCTTCATGCCCCGCTCGTGGCCGAGGGGCGTCGAGGCTAGAGACGCCGAGTGCAAGGAGCACCTGCACGGCCTCGTCCATCTGTTCCAGGCCAAGAACCGGGACACGATCTTGCCAGGTGAGCTAGAAAGAGAACCCTAATGCTCTGCGTATATGCGTTGCCGTTTCCGTGGTTGCATTATTCCCATGTTGAGAGCTTGACTTTCTACCTGGTTGTGCTCTCCTGTTTGGCAGGTGTCCAGAAGCGTGCAGCTCGAGCGGAGCTGCGCACGTTCCTGCCGGTGCTCTCCACTGCGCCCAAGGAAGAGCAGCCCTTTCACGCAGGTTTGAAGGCCATCTTGCAGACCAGCTACCCCAACTTAGTCCGTCTGTGGGCTGCCGTCGCTGTTCTGCCGCGCAGCACAGTCGAGTGCGAGCGCGGGTTTTCCCGGCAGAATGTGATAAAGTCATGGCGCCGGACGAGTCTCTGCAACGCCAAGCTGGGAGATTTGATGGCAATATCGCTGCTCGACTACGACATGGACAGGGAAAAGGTGGTGGACATCTGGCGGAGCACCGGGAAAAGGCGTCCCACCAAGCGCAAGGAGCAAGCTGCGCCAGAGAAGAAGCGGGCCAAGGCCAAGTTTGTTAAGGGGAGTGGCCGCCGGCTGGTGCAGGTGGAGGAGGAACTAGATGAGGGCATGAAGGGTTCTGCAGGCGCTGACAGTGAGAGTGATGATGATGGCAGCAGTAGCAGTGGTGATGATGCGAGCGTTTCTTCTTCAGATGATGACATGAGCTAGTTAGCTAGTTAGTAGTTAGGTATATTTATTTTGGACTTTCTTACACTGAAGGATCAGTACAGTGAAAAATTTTACACTGACAGAATCAGTATATTGAAAACCACCAACGCTGATTTGGACAGCTGGTTGGCAGGGGCACGCTGATCCATCAGCATACCCTCAAACCAATCTGAGGGCCTGATCGCAATTGATTTGCATATATAATCAATCGCTTGTGCGCAGGACGTGTCCAATCTGTTCATGGTTAGCCATGCATACCACACTGAGCTGTATCGAGCCTTCTTTTTAATTCTATACAACCGGTTTTTGTACTAATCGGTCCTACTATGTTCCTAGGTGAGGTTGTCCAGTTTTGAGATGACTCGCAATTGATTTGCATATGTAATCAAGCCTTAGTGTGCATGACGGTTCAAGACTGTTCAAGGATGGCCATTCACATCACCTCTGCAGTTTAGGGCCCTCTAAGATTAATAGCTCCCATTCATTAATACTAATAGCCCCTACTATGTGTCTAGGTGAGACGGTTCGGATTGGACATGATTCGCAATAGATTTGGATAGGTAGTCAACTGACAGTGCGCATAAGGGGTCAAACCTGTATAAGGATAGCGATTCATAACACTTTCAACTGCTTAGTGCCCTTGTTATACCAATAGCCCCTACTATGTATATAGGTGAGGCTATACGGTTTTTTGTTATGCAATGGCAATTGATTTGCATAAATAGTCAAGTGTTCGTGCGTAGTACGAAAGAAACGTGTTCAAGGATAACCATTAATACTACTCTCAGCTGAATAGTGCCCTTTGTGATTTCTTTAAGATTCCGTTGTTAAAACCAATGCCCCTTCTCTATATGCCTCCAGAGGAGGCGGGGTTTTGAGATCAATCGCAAGTGTTAACATAGGTAAACACGCGTCTATGCATACGACGTACGGATATGGTGATTCGATCAAATTTGCTAAGTCAGGAGCTATGGTTGTCTTATTGGCCATAATAAATGCATATGAAGTTGTAAATATACTAAAAAGAAACGTGCTTATGGTCCCTCTTCAGTGTCTCGTTCGTCGTTTCGTAGAGTCTCGTGTTGTGGTAAGCATATCAAGTTGCTTGATAAAATGACGATTTTAAAATCAGGTAAGTACTACCGTATGCTTTATTACGGTAATGCATTAAGGATATCGAAGACGCACTACCAAACTCAATACCCTCATTTCCCGCGATATTCATATTCATCTACGAATCAACCATCTATCTAATCTGAGACTTGTTTTTTTTAACGCCCATGTGCAAAATCGCGTTTCTGTAATGTGTGTCTCAAACCACTGACGGAAACAGTCACACGGTAGACCAGACGGAATGCTAGTGTTCTCCGTTTCCGTTTGGCGAGCTGGGCCTGTGTTTCGAAATCTAGGGCGCGACAAACTAGCTCAACAGATTTCGGAACAGTGGCAGCCGAGCCACCCAGAGTGAGGATTCGATTTGGCAGAAGGGACAAAAGTCAACTATGCACAGTTGACAAGTTGCTCAGTGCAGTAGTTGGCATGGAAACTTGTGCCACGTGGATGAATGTGGGGAAGAGTTCTGTGTTGTTTCTATAATTCCTCTGTCTGAGGCACGGAGGGGCGGAAAGTGCCCCCCGCTGGCACTGTAGCTCCCTACAAAGCGCGGGGTCCCTAGTGGTACCCCCGCGAAAGCTACTTACCCGGCGGCCGCTTCACCCTGAAGATCCACGTGCCACTGACGATGTTCGCCCCAGGAGGGGGGAGAGCGTCAACGTAGGTGCCTGTGGACTTCCAGGAAGCCATCTCTGCATCCATAGCTGCCTGCCACTAAGAGGAGTAGGGACCCTCTATCGCCTCCGCGTAAGAGCGCGGAGTCGGGATGTCAAGTGCATCGGTACTGGATTGTCGGGATTCGGGATCATCGGTACTGTGGGGTCTTGTCCATAGTTCATGTAAACGGTGACTGTTGGGTCGTGACAGATGGCGAGTTTCTGTACGCGAACTCGATGAGTGGCAGTTGCTGTTCCCAAGTGGTCGGGTCGTCGCACGTGGCTCGGATGCGTTGCTCCATTGTCTGGTTTGTCCGTTCTGTCTGTCCGTTGGTCTTGGGGTGGTACGAAGAATTGAGCTGTAGTCGCGTGCCGAACTGCTGCCACATGTTCCGCTAGAAGTTGCTGGTGAATTTTGTGTCACGGTCACTGATGATCGCTATTGGTATCCTGTGCAGACGAACGACGGTGGCGATGAAGAGGCGAGCTGTTTCTTCGGCTGTGATTGATTTCTTGCAGCCTGCAAAATGTGCCATTTTCGTCAACCGGTCGACGACGACCAGGATCGCGTCGTTCACCCCGTGACCGACGGTAACCCCGTGACACTTGCTCCAGCTGGTAACCCCGTGACGAAGTCCATTGTCACCTGCTGCCAAGCACGCTCTGGGGGTGGTATCGGCTGCAACTGTCCTGCCGGCCACTTGTGTGACGATTTGATGAGTTGGCAGGTGGGACACGATGCCACGTGTCGTTGTACGCCGGTCAACATTTCGGGCCAGTAGTAATGCTGTTGCAGCTGTGGCCATGTTTTTTCTATTCCGAAATGGCCTGAGGTAACTCCGTTACTTGCCTCCTGTAGCATTAATTCCCGTAGCAACGTGTAGCCCGGTACCCAGATGCGGTCGGTGCCGACTTTTACGTAATAAACCCCCTTTGCTGCTGCAACCTGCTGCGGATTTCCACATGTGAAGAGCGGGTCCATTTGGTATATGTGGGTAAATAGCCCTGTCAGTAGCGGGCTGGTTTGGGTGAGTAGTATGGCATGGATTTGGGCAGTGGGGCAGGTCAGTGCGTCGACGATGTTCGATGCCCCCTTTTTGTAGGTGCCCGTGTAATGGAAATTGGCTTGAAGAATTCGAGCCAGCGAATATGTCGTGGGTTGAGGCGGGGCTGTGCCTGGAGGTACTATAGCGATTTGTGGTATGTTCGTACTGTCACGTCCGAGCCAGTCAAGTAATAGCGCCACACTTTGAATGCATGCACGATTGCAAGCAATTCGCGGTCGTATATCGGGTAATTTTTCTCGGGCGGATGCAGTTTTCATGACTCATAAGCGATGGGCTGTAAGTAGTTGCCAAAATCCTGTAGCAGTATGGCTCCGATGGCGATGTTGCTTGCGTCTGTAAATACTTCGAATGGGCAGTGTGGGTCGGCGATGCGTAGTACGGGCGGTGAACAGAGAACATGTTTCAGGGCAGAGAAGGCAGCATGCTCTTTCTCCCCCCATGTAAAGGCGACCCCCTTTCACTGCAGATCCGCCAGTGGGGCTGTTAACCGTGCCATGTCGGGGACGAACCGACGCCCATAAT